TGAGAAAGTGTGCTTCATAAATCTGGCTTTTTTGACATTAGCTCTAAAGCTTTGGAAGTTTGAGAATTTGGGGTTTTGCCTGTCTCTAATGGGCGTGGTCAAATATCGGGATACTTTATCTGACGCGAACATATACAAGTTTATATTCTATAGCTTTCACAGACATCCAGACAGACGGACAACAGGACGTACATTGCATAAAACCAATATACCCTTTAGCACTTTGCGAACAGGGTATAAGAAAATCAGGTTACTTGGAGATTCATCCGACAGATAAATTCAGGGAATCGTTTCTTCAATGCGACTTTTGAGCAGTTCAGGAGAAATCAAATGGACAAAGGAGGTTGCTTTTTGTGGTTCCTTTAAGTGCGAACAGGGTATAAGAAAACAGGTTACTTGGAGATGCATTTGACAGATAAATTCAGGGAATCGTTTCTGGGCAAAGGAGTTTGCTTTTTGTAGCGCCTTTAACCTGGACATGGTCCAGGGTAGCGATAAGATCTGAAAGCTCTAGCAGACCAGCAAAGATTACACAACACTTCCGGCTCAGACCAACTCCAGTGTTGCTGCCTGTGAAAAGAAGTTAAAGTGTCTGCAAAAAGTATGCTCACTTCATGGGCATGGGCAGCTCTCGGGCGTAGGGCACGCCCCGCCAGCTGCTGGTGATGATCTTGATAATGGGTCCGAGCATAAAGTAGATTCCAGTGAAGCCGCAGGAAATGCAATAGGCACGGCCCAGCGAAGCGGCCAGCTTGTTGGCGCGCGCCAAATAGCCATTGCCTGCATCCTTAAGCTGAGCTGGAGAAGATTGTTTGGGATACAAGCCAGGTGTCGATTGATAAATTGTGACTCACATTTGAGGTCGAGTTGCCTGAAGCGCTGCATCATTTGCCAAAAGTTTTGCTTGTAGAGCAAAAATGTCCAGATCTTCGTGACGGTCACCAGATTGGTGAAGGCGACGCTCAGACAGGCGGTAATCAGCTCCATGTCATCCCGATGATAGATCACATACGACAGCATCGGATACTCCGCGGAGAGCACAAACAGCAGAGATGCGATGTGCTTCAGGCTGAGGGAGGAGCTGCCCTGGACGCCGAAACTGTGCAGATTGTGGCCCATCAGGCGCAGACAGTTCTCCTGCAGCTGGAACAGTCGCGACATGTCCAAGTCCAAGCTGTACTGTGCGCCTGGAACTAATCTTGGATTTATTTATACGCCCGGACACACGTATTTTAATTGGCGGCTCGTTTCAATTAATTGTACATTTGACATTGTTTTGCGGCTAATAACTGTGATTGCCAGGACACTCGTTGATATGTTGACATCATCAATTATCATTGCTGACACTAATTGGCCAACGCGGGGGGGGGGAAGCACCCACCGCCCACCTGCCCAGCGCCCACCTGCCCACCGCCCAGCTATTCACTTTAAAGCGAAAGCTTTGAATTTGTATTTATATAACCCGCGGGCCTGTGCGCAATCAAAACCTAATCAATGTGCTCGCAACTCGCGTAATATACACAAAAATAACGCTAACAAAAAATTTAATATTTTTCTTTACTTTGCAATTACAACTCTTTTCTTTGGGCGTTATGCCCTAACAGCGGGTCTCTTAGCTTGCGCAAGCATTTAAATATGAGAGTAAAAGAGACGAGCCGGCTCGAGTCTTATATTCGATTGTTACAAGACTGAACGTTACCCGTTTGAATTCAGATTTCCTATTTATTCTTATTGATGAACCGAAATTTAAGCCAAATCGAACCACATTTAGTTTGAAATAATCTATTTTTTAGTCGGGCAAACCAAGGTTTAAGCCCCAAACCTGGCTAAAAAAAAACAGTTTCATGAACCAAAACTCAAGACAGAAATTTTGTTAAACCCGTGGCTATATTTTTATTTTATTTATATATTTTTGCGTTTTTTCATTTTATTTATTTATTTATTTTTGCTTTTTTTCATTTTATTTATTTTTTTTTTTATTTATTTATTTTTGCGTTTTTTCATTTTATTTATTTATTTATTTTTGCGTTTTTGCATTTTATTTATTTATTTTTGCATTTTTTAATTTTTTTATTTACTTTTGCATTTATTCATTTTATTTATTTTTGCATTTTATTTATTTATTTTTGCATTTTTTCATTTCTTTTATTTATTTATTTCTTTTTGCATTTTTTTTATTTTATTTATTTATTTATTTGTTTATTTGTTTTATTTTTTTATTTATTTATTTATTTATTTTTGCATTTTTTCATTTCGTTTATTTATTTATTTATTTTTGCATTTTTGCTATGATTTAAATCATGTTTATTTTTAAATCTTTTGATTCAAATAAAAGCCTTGGAAATATTATTATTATTATACATTAAATGCAATTTGAGGCTTAAATATTGTAAAAAAGGAATCTCAACCCAAGAAGAGATAGCTGTTAAATAATTATGAATTATTTTTAAATAGTTTTATTTAAAATTTAGGTGAACATGTTTGGCTTGGATGCCTGAGCGTCGGACCAGCAAACGGCAAGTCGCTGGTTCAAATTCGGCAGCAATTCACAAAGAAAGATTGAATTGGGAAATATTCGTTGAAACAGGCACGAATCAGGTCTGTAAAAATCTAGTTGGACGAAACCTAATGACAAACAGAAATCCAATCATCGACTAATTTATATATACATATAAGTATATAAATATGATCCATAATAGAAGACCAAATAAATATGAGACTCGATCAATCAGTCTAAGATTTATCTAATCATATCTCACATTTAGAAACTCCTTCATTAAACGCAGTCCAAATAAACAAAATCGAAGTATAAATCGCTCAAAAAATAATCGTTCGATTCTCAAATCAGCTTTGCCTTTCGATTCGATTCTCAAATTGAAGATTGGCTTTACCTTTAGAAAGGGTATTTGAACTTCGTTAACAACTATTTTATCGTAATCTTCACTTAAATTTTTTGCTGACTAAGAAAGTTTGGCTTCTGCGTTTGTTGTTTCTCATGTCCGACATTCACCAGAGCCGACTCCGTCTCCGGGTCTGTCCCTGACCTCAAACCTCAAACGGTTTGAAGACTTAATTGATTTGAAGACGCGGCTAATCTCCGACAAGCTCAATAATTAAAAATTAAAAAGCTGAGCTCAACAATTTGATGAAGCTTATTAAATATTTGTTTTGAGAAGGCAAAGGTTATTTTTTTTACAAAAACAATTCGAATTTATTAACAACAACAATTATTTTTTTGAAGGATTGCAGCTGCAGCTCAACCGCTTAGAAACTGGGTGGCAGATAGGCATTGCCTGCCTGGTGCGAGATCACCTGGCCGCCGCCGATGGAGGAGGCGGAGGAGTGGGAGGAGGAGACGCCGCCAATGCCGGTGCCGCCGCCGACAGCGACGCCGTTGGCATCTCCGCCGCCGAGAGCGCCAATGACAGAGGTGACAGGTGCCACGCCCTCATCGGTTAGCTGGCTGGTGCCGCCAAGGGCATCGTATTGGGATTGAATCTGTTGCTGGGCATGGGCGGCCTCCTCGTTGGTCTTGTACTTGATGAAGAACACCTCCGGCTTGCTGGTGGAGCTGGCCTGCTCAACGACCTCGGCCTGGACATCGGAGCTGTCCGTCTTCTTGCTGAGCACATAGATGACGGTCTTGTCCTCGTTGACGGCGGGGCTAATCTTGATGGAGGTCTTCTTATTCGAACGCTGCGGCGACTTGATGAACACCACATTATAGTTGCGCTTGGGCACGCCCACCGTAATATGACGCTCCTTGTACTCCTCATCCACATCCTCGGGCGCCGAGTGTATAAAGAAGCGCTTCGACACGATCGGCTGCTGATGCTGCTGCTGCTCCACGTGCTGCTGCTGCTGCTGCTGGGCCAGCTGCTGGTGATGCACCACGGGCTGCTGCTGGAAGAAGGCCTGCTGCTGCGGCTGCTGATAGTGCTGCTGCTGCTGCTGCTGCTGCTGCACCTGTGCAGCCTGGAAGAAGCTGGCGCCGCTGCCGCTGGCGCTGCTCAGGCCGGCGCCCAGAGCGGATGGGCCAGGATTGTAATTGTAGCCCTGCGGTGCGGCCAAGGCCACGGCGCTTAGACACAAGACCTGCAAGAGTATATTTGTTAGTCTTAAGTTAATCCTGCTGCCCACAAAAAAAAAACCCCCGCCTCTTACAATAAATCCACGCATTTCTCTACTTGGCTGAGCTGAGTGTGGACTGGGTTTTGCTTTATTTGGCTGTTCGCTGCGAACTGTTTGACTTTTCCGATCTTCGGCTGACTTTTATACTCTGCCCCCATCGACAACTTAATAAGTGAAGTTCAGTTTGTCTACGCTTCGTCTTCTCGTTTTGCCACACTTTTTTTTGTTGCATGTTCATTGTTTTTTGGCCAGACGCAGTTGTCCATCAAATCGCCTTCGCCTTCGACTTCGACTTCGCTTTTCAAAATCCACACACAAAAAAATGCCGAGACTCTCATTAAATGCGGCGACTTGCTTGTAGTTGCCCGAAAGACATGGCCAATTAGCGTGATTCCCCCACAAGCTTTAGCTTTTGGTTTCATCTGCTTCTTCTTCTCTTAATTGTTCGGCGAAGTCCCAGTTTCGGCGCCCTCAGCTGCCTTTGGGCCACGCGCATCGATTAAATGCTATTAAAAGCCCGAATTGCATAAACACCTAATCAATTTTAGTACAACTTACAGCCAAGAAATTGCTTGAGCTAAACTAATTTCCCATACCCCCTCCCCCTCTCCCCTAGCCCCGTTCCCTTTGCAAACACGGCCAGCTCATGTATTTGGCTTAATTAATGATCCGTCGAGCTTGAAAATTTTGCATGCGAGCTGCAATGTTGGCCATTTATCATCAGTTGAACATGTATCTGCAGCTGTCCAGCGGCTCGTCCAAGATTAATTTACTTTTGATTATTTCGACAAAAGCCCTTTGTCAATCTAGACGAGACGGCGGCAATTGTTGGCCCAAAACGTGACGCCCAGCTCCAGCTCCAGCTTCAGCTCCAGCTCCATTTGCGGTCGGTGTAATGAGCCGTTTACTTGGCCCAGCCGGACGGACAGCCGGACGGACAGTCGGACAGCCGCAGCTTAGCCGGGCTAATGAACATGCGTTGCTCCCTCAGCGCTTCTTCATTAACGGGTTCCGAAGCCAAGTGTCTGAGGTCGGGGCTAAGCCGCAACTGGAGGCTGTTTCTTGCTCAATGAAACGTGCCACATCACGCACACAAGCTCAAAACTTGCGAGAAATATTTGCCTAACAACTAAATATTAAAATAATAAACAAAATAAATAATATAATTGACCAACATCTAAAAGAAATATGTTTCTTTAATCATTAAGAGCTTAAATAAGTTATGTAAATAATATATTTGAGTATTTTTCAATAACACAACCAACATAAACAAAAGCTAAAATCAACATTGATTTTTCTAAAAAAAAAATATATATAAAATCAAAATGGATTTGCCTGTAATCATTAAAATAATAAATAAAATATGTTAATAATATATATTTGAGAATAATATATATTTTTCTATTTATTTTTAAATTTTTTTATTTAGTTATGTAAATATTTCCTAAACATATTATTATTTCAACTAATAAATAAAAAAATGTCTACAAATTAGAATATTTTTCTTTTAGTTTTTAAATCTTTTTTTAGGACAAACTTATTTTTATATACAAGTTCTTAAGTTGACAACCAATCTTTTTGTTTATATATAAAAAAAATGTCTACAAAATGAAAGTATTTTTCTTTTTAAGTTTTCGAACTTCTTGTAAGACAAACTTATTTTTATATACAACTTCTTAAGTTGGCAGTTAATCTTTTTTTTATTTTAATCATTGAAAATGCCTGCAAAATGAAAATACATTTTTTTTTAAGTTCTTGTAAGAATAACTTCTTGTTATTCAAGACTTGGCATATGCGAGTTCCTAACTGCTCCGCAAATATGCCGCAAATCCTATCCACATCGGACTACTATATCATATATATAAACTAAAGAATATATCTCATTATTGCATCTATAGCACAATTCATTTGTTTATAACTCCAAACTATGCTTAATAACCTTTGTTATCTAAAAATGTAAATGAGGAAAACAATTCAAATGTTCTTCGATTTTTCATTATATTAATAATTCACAATAAGTTTTAGTTAATATGTATTCCAACTAAGCGCTTGGAAAGCTTTTGGCTTGCGCAAAAGCTTGGTGCACAACCGTTATTCGATATCAAAACCAAAAGTTGACATTCAAAAACTTAAAGCTTTGCCTATTTCGCCTTATTTATCAATTAAAAGTTGCCCGCAAATTGAATGAAATGCTGCAATTTGCAGAGAAAAACAGTTTTGAATATTAATTCAATTTTTCAAAATTTACAGCTCGTTATGCAACACTGCAAGGCATTTAATAGCTCATTATTTTGATCATCACTTTTCGCCAGGTTTTCGTTGTTTTTGTGAATTTTATCAATATATTTCTAAATTTGATGCATAATATTTTAATTATTTAATTTGCTTTTTATTTTTTGTTTATAGTGTTGGTAATTGTTGAATATTAGCGCCAACAGCCTTGGCCATGTTAATTTTCTAAGCACGCGATCGTCACAAAAGTGAAATTGATTGAGGTTTGAGCTGTGAAAATAAATAAAATATATAAAAGCACTTAAAGCACTCGGCGGGTGTAAAGAAATTTTCGATTTATGCAACAATCAAACGCTAATAAGCGCCTAACAGCGTTGCACAACACTTAAAACAAAGCAGCAAACGACTATTTACCGTTGTGTGAGTACATTAAACAAAAGAACGCCTACCACACATGGCTTATATAAGCAGCCTTGGCTTCAGGTGAATTTAAAAATATAAATAAAAATAATATAAAAATAATATAACTTACGACAGATGCACGAGTCATGGATCCCCCGTAGCATTTGGGATATTTGATTAATCGGCGGACATACGTCAAAATATCATCGTCATCATTCCGGCTGCTCATCTTCGCACAATCAAATTATGACCCAAATTTTTCACAGCCACTGACGGACATTGATTGATTTTCAAAGAGAAAATAAAAACAAAATAAAATAAACACAAAATAAAGTTAAATAAATTTATAAATAACTGTTTTATAAAGCAATACCAACTAAATATTCCAAGTGTTAATCTTTGATATTAAATTTGAATATAAAAAATCCATTAGTATTATTATTTTCCTGTTCACATTTCAAAAGCAAAATTTGATAAACTAAAAAAAAGTATTAATAACTGTCATTAAAGCAATAACAACTAAATATTCGAATTGTTAATCTTATATATTAAATTCCAATATCAAAAATCAAATTGGATTATTATTTTCCTGTTCACATAATTTTCTAAACTAAAATAAATTTATTAATAATTGTTATTAAAGCAATACCAATTAAATATTCGAACTGTTAATCTTTGGGGATGTATTTTAATTAAATTAAATATGATTATTATTTTCCTGTTAAAGAAATATGTACGAAGTAAATATTCCAAGTGTTAATCTTTAGAGGATGTATCTTAAATTCCACTATACAAAATCCAATAAGATTATTATTTTCCTGTGCACATTTCAAAAGCACAATTTGATAAACTAATTGTTAATCTTATATATAAAATTCCAATATCAAAAATCAAATTGGATTATTATTTTCCTATTCACATTTTAATTCACATAATTTGCTAAACTAAAATAAATTTGCAAATAATTGTTATTAAAGTAAAACCAACTAAATATACCAAGTGTTAATCTTTAGAGGATGTATATTAAATTCCACTATAAAAAATCCAATAAGATTATTATTTTCCTGTGCACATTTCAAAAGCACAATTTGATAAACTAATTGTTAATCATATATATAAAATTCCAATATCAAAAATCAAATTGGATTATTATTTTCCTATTCACATTTTAATTCACATAATTTGTTAAACCAAAATAAATGTATAAATAATTGTTATTAAAGCAATACCAACTAAATATTCCAAGTGTTAATCTTTAAGGTGTTTATATATTAAATTCCAATTCCAAAATCCAATAAGACTATTATTTTCTTGTTCACATTTCAAAAGCACAATTTGCTAAACTAAAAGAAATTTATTAATAACTATCATATAAGCAATATCAGCTAAATATTCCAATATGTTTATTTAATTCGAATATAAAAAATTCCAATAAGATTATTATTTTCCTGTTCACATTTCAAAAGCACAATTTGCTAAACTAAAAGAAATTTATTAATAACAGTCATTAAAGCAAAACCAAATACAAAGTCAAAGTGTTAATCTTCAATCTTATTAAATTCCAATTGCAATATCAAAAATCAAATATAATTATGATTTTCCTGTGCACACATAATCTGATCTAACTAGTTGAACAAATGTGAAGTAATATAATAGGTAAATTGTTGGCTCGAAATCAAATATGATTGTGCCTCAGATAGATTATGCCAGTCAAGTAATTCGCGCCCTAATGCTGATTTCTTTCATTTGGCTAAAAAGAAAATTACATAAATAACGCTCGCAAAGAAAAAACAAAATAAAAATAATGCCCATATCACATAGAGGTGCATTATGCAATGCGGGCCTTAACGGCGCCTCGTCCAATTAAATTGGCAAGATCTGCAAATTGAACTGGGGCTCGGTTCGCCACAAACTGGGTCAGGCCCTGATGACCATCAAAAGCGATTTATAAAACGGCCAAAATTTAGCGCAATTTGACGCGTCACTAATGACAACTTTATGCGTTTTGTGCAAGTTATGTTTAATTATTGTAGCCCAGCATCGAGATCTTTGGCGAAATTGTCGATTGGCCCCATAACAATAGATATGCTAATTCACATATGACTTCCGGCGAGTTGGGGGCTCCACACAAGTACAATGTCTGTGTCTGTGTGCCTGGCGCTAAGCCCCAAAATATGATGACGCAGGCAATTGCGTGCGGAGAGTGTGAGTCTGCGTCTCATCGTCTCAAGGTTGTTCAAAAGAAAACAGGTAAGTCTCGAGGCTGAGTGACGGCCAGATACCCTGTAAGCAGCTGGAGAACATGTACACACTGGTATAAATGGATGATAGTCAAAATGTGATATATTCCAGATATGTTAAAAAACAGGCCTTGCATATCGATTAATAGTACCAAAAAACAAAGCTTGATGTGCCTTCCTCTATCACCTTTGGGAGATGCTCAAAGCACGTTATCTGTTATCGATATTTATCGATTTTTTTTGGGAATATAGCAATAAACTTGAGCTGATAATGGAACTTGATATTAAGACAATATAAATGCCATGCTTGGAGTATTTGTCTTTTATGAATAAGAGAAGAAAATATAAGAAGCAATTGTTGGATATCGATATTTATCGATTTTGAGACAAATTTGCAGCATACTTTGATTGCTAATGGTTTAATAGAAACTAAATTCAAATTTGGAATGTTGTAAAAATTTAGAGATATAGCCTAAAATTCGATGCAGATTATCGATATATATCGATATTGGGAAAACCGCACTAAAATATATATGAGAAATAACATACGAGAAACTAAATGCCAAATTTGAGATACAAGCCTTTTAAAGACTTTGTGGGTTGATTAAAAAATAGGTGCTAGATATTTATCGATTTTGAGGAAAATCGCAATGAACTTCATCTGAATGTGGTTTAAGAAAATCGGTTATCGATATTGGAAAATTTCGCAGTGAAATTGACTTAAGTATTGGCATAAACGAGCCTAAAGCCAAACCCAACTTTTAAGAAATATCAAAAATTTCAAAAAAAAAAATATTTATCGATATTTATCGATTGCAAATCAAATAATATGCGTATGTAATAACATAACCTAAAAACGACTCGACTGATTATGCAAATTATCGGGAAGTAGATGCCTGCTTCCGACTGTAAACAACAATATACCCCTTCTCACTGATTACAGGGTATTTGAAAAGCGGCTTTGCTGTCGCTTGTGAGATGTATTAGCTCTCGCACTTCGCGCGCTTTGTTGTGGTTTCGGTTTTAGTTTCATTTGAACTCTGCGTCGTCTCTCATCATCATCATCGCCATCGCCAGCTCCATCGCCAGCTCCATCTTTAGCTGCTGCAGCAGCAGCATCACGTCTTATAAGTGACAGTCGGCGACTGATTAGCATTTAGTTGGTTTCTGTTTGCCAAGCGACCCGGTGCTCAGTCTTCAGTCAGCCATCAAATCGAACGGAAATGCGCGTCTTTATTGTAAGCCTCTCTTTTTTTTGGGTTGGAATCTTCTCCAGCATTTTGTCTAATGGCACGCGTTTTCCGCTTAGGTTACGTGCCTGCTGGGCCTGTCGTTGGCGGCGCCACAAGGATACAATTACCAGGCGGCCGGAAATCTGCAGCTGCCCGGCATACCCGGCTTAGCCGGGCTGCAACAGCAGCAGGCGGCCAGCCTGGATGAGCAGCGACTAGTGCAGCAGGCGCTGCAGGCGCCCAAGGTGCAGCAGATCTTCCAGCAGCAGCAGCCCCAGCAGCAGCAGATCTTCCAGCAGCAGCAACCCCAGCAGATCTTCCAGCCGCAGGCCTCCAGCTTTGGCTACAATCAGCTGCAGCAGCAGCAGCAGCCGCAGTCCTACAGTCCCGTCGTCTCCAAGGACATCTATGTGCACGTGCCGCCCGCCGAGGAGCCGGAGGATCGCTATCCGCAGCCCGTGCTGCCGGCGGGGCCACCACGCAAGCATTATCGCATTGTGTTCATCAAGGCGCCGACGCCCAGCATCAGCAAGGCGGCAGTCCGGGTGCAGCAGGCGCCCGTCGAGGAGAAGACCATCATCTATGTGCTGACCAAGAAGCCGGATCCGTTGGAGCTGCAAACGGCCATCGAGGAGGCGGCGCCCAAGCCCATCAGCAAGCCGGAGGTGTTCTTCATCAAATACAAAACGCAGGAGGAAGCGGCGCATGCGCAGCGCACCATACAAGGTAAATTTCCAAAACAAAAGCCACGGAAACACGGAAACTTTGCATACGGCCAAGATCTGGCCAAGACCTTGCGAGACGCTTTTTTATAGTCAAACAGAATTGGAGAGGAATTCAACCTCCAAAGCTTACTGATCGCCGGGTTTTTTATGATTATCTATTTTTATCTTCTTTGCAGCTCAATACGATCAGCTGGGCGGCACCACGCAGGTCTCCGACGAGGGCGTGGCACCGGTCACATCCGTTATCGGTGCTCTGGATAATCAGGTGGGCACAGGTGCAGGGATTGGCAGCACGGGCGGCCTCACCGGCGCCATACCCACCAAATATTTGCCCGCCCATCTGCGTGCGTACTGAGAATTGACTGAGAACTCAAGAATTGTTGTTATTGTTGTAGCCATAAGTTAAAAAAAACAAAACAAATTATCTAACTATATATTATATTAAATATATCTAGCTGAATAAACGTTTTGTTTTACCCCCCCGACTTCGCAGCGACCTTCAAGCGCATCTTTCACAATTTTTACTTGACAAAGGCGATCAAAGACAAAAAAAAAAAATAGTTTTATGCCTCTGCGCATTGCCACATTGATTAGCCGCGGCTGGGAAAACCGGTCGCATCGATTAGCATTTGATTTGTCTTGCATAATCCCGAAATCTACATAATGATCGTGCAGAGCAATATCTTGATTACGCATTCAGCCACTAAGTGGCTGCTCACACTTTTTAGGGCCTATCATTTACACCAGCAGAAACCCCCATTAGATGTTATAGAAGAAATTGACCAAGAAATTACCCAAGCGTCGCTCAAATGCGGAAGGTTGTGTAATATTTTGTTAATTAATTTAAATATGCTTTTGTTATTGTGTATGATAATAAATTAAATAGATAATAAATAGATAATAATTAAATAAATAAACTAAGGGAATTGCGAACTGCTTCTAGATTTGAACCAGCGACCTCACACTTGGCAGTCCGACGCTTTGTGTTATAATTTATGTTTTTAAGACAATAAATATGCTTTTATACTTGTGAATAATAATAAATTAAATGAACAACTATAGGAATCGCAAACTGATTCTAAATTTGAACCGGCGACTTCACACCAGATAGTCCAACACTTAGACTTCGTGTTGCTCTTGATGTTTTTAAGACAAAAATATGCTTTCATAATTGTGAATAATAATAAATCAAATAAAAAACTATAGAAATTGCAAACTGTTTTTAGATTTGAACCAGCGACCTCACACCAGATAGTCCGTCGCTTAGACTTCGTGTTGCTGTTGATGTTTTTTTGACAAACTTAAACCAACGCTTTCCTCCAATCGGAAATCACGTTGCCCTAAAGCCCAATCTTAGTGCTCATTACTTACTGCTTCTAGATTTGAACCAGCGACTTTACACTTGAAAGTCCGACTTTGAATTGTTGTTGATGTTTTTGATAGAAATTTCAGCCAACGCTTTCTTTCAATTGCTTTTTGCAAACTGCTTCTAGATTTGAACCGGCGTCCTCACACTTGATAGTCCGACGCTTAGACTTTGTGTTGTTGTTGATGTTTTGAAGACAGTAAATAGGCTCTTTTAATTGTGGAAAATAATAAATTAAATAAACAACTATTGGAATTGGAAACTTCTTCTATATTTGAGCCAGCGACCTCACACTTGATAGTCCGACGCTCATCTAGGCTACGCTTGCGTCGCACAGTTTGATGGCTTCGTGTTGTTGTTGATGTTAAAGACAAATATAAACCAACGCACTTTCTTCCAATCGGAGATCGCATTTCCCTAAAACCTGGTGAAAAGCCAGGTTCATGAACCAAGCCTAAAGTAAGAAAATATTTCAACCAATGTGAAGGTCTAGTTTCCTATTAAAGACAGCGATAAGTATACGCAGCGAACTCATCCAAAAAAGGTGTTAATTAAGCAATTAAGCTTTTAAATAAGTGATCTTTTCAGGTTTTACAATTATGGTTAATAATCATTAGGTTCATTTAATTAACGAACAAGATGTAACGAACGATCAAGGTCTGCAGAGGCCAAAAAGTTTCACTGATTGAAATAAACCCTAATCAATATCGGGCTTGTGCTATTAATTAGGACTCCATCTAGCTGAAGACAAGGTTGAGTTGTCGGTAGCTATTCCCGGTAGACGTTTTCTCAAAGTGACCCAGTCCCTCAGCCAATTGCACTTCCGGAATCCGGTCTTGAGCCTCCGATGCGTGTTAAAGTAGAGAGATGGAGGGAATGATAGGGCGAAGAATAGGGAGGAGAGAGAAAAAGATCGGGGGAGAGTCATAGAGAAAAAGAGGAAGAAGAGAGACAGAAAGAGGGGAAATATAAAATATAGGGAGGAAGAAAAGAAAAAGATCGAAGAAAAAAAGAGAGTGAGAATGAGGAGGAAAGAAAGAGAGATAGGGAGAGAGACAGATAGAGTGAGGGAGACATAAAGAGAGAGAGAGAGAGAGAGAGAGAGAGAGAGTTGGGAAAAAAAGAGAGATACAGGAAGGCAGAAAAGGAGAGATAGAGCGAGAGGGAAAGAGGGAGAGAAGGAAAGAGACAGAAAAAGGGGAAAGGTGAAAAATAGGGAGGAAGAAAAGAAAAAGATCGGAGAAAAAATGAGAGAGAGAGAGAACGAGGAGGAAAGAAAGAGAGATAGGGAGAGAGACAGATAGAGTGAGAGAGAGACATAAAGAGAAAGAGAGAGAGAGAGAGTTGGCAAAAAAGGAGAGATAGAGCGAAAGGGAAAGAGGGAGAGAGAGAGAGAGAGAAGGAAAGAGACAAAGAGAGAGAGGAATGGAGAGCGAGAGAGAGAGAGGACAGTGAGAGAGAATGAAGAAAAGATAGAAAGGGAGAGATCAATAGGATGGGAGAAAGATACAGAGTAAGAAAGAGAAAGAGTGAGAGAGAGGGGAAGAGGTAGAGAGAGAGATAGATAGATAGATAGAAAAAAAAAGAGAGGAAGAAATAAGGAGGGTGAGGAAGAGAGAGAGAGTGACAGAGATAGAGGTTGGGATATATGTATGTAAATATCTAATTATCCAAATACAAATCTAACCATAAATCTATAAGATATAAAAACTATAAGATCTTAAAAGTTTTTTTGCAAAAATTATAAAATTTAAAAATATATATGTCTGGTTAAGATATTGAATATATTTATTTTGATTTTGATTATTGATTTGACAATAAATTAAAATAAACTAAAATGCGGCGATTGTTGGAATTGAATGAAAGAAATGCGGAGGAAATTCGCCTTATTTTGTCTTGGCTGGAATGTAGCGCTTGGATGGGACATTCACGCCAAAGTTGGTGGCCGAAGAGAGGGAGGAGCTCTGCAGACCCGAGCTCTGGAAGCTGCCGCCGCTCTGGAAGCCGCCGCCGGACTGGAAGCCGCCGCCGGACTGGAAGCCGCCGCCGGACTGGAAGTTCTGCTGCTGGATGCCCACGCTCTGGGACTGGGACTGGACCTGCTGCTGGATGTGCTGCGGCACAATGTTGCCCAGATTGAGAGAGCCGGAGCCGGAGAAGCTGGAGATGGGAGCGACGCCCTCGTCCGAGATGTGTGTGGCACCGCCCAGAGCATCGTACTGGGCCTGGATCTCCTGCTGGGCGCGCTGTGCCTCCTCCGTGGTCTTGTACTTGATGAAGTAGACCTCGGGCTTGTGCACCTTTGGTTCGTTCTGCGACAGCTGCAGATGCTGATGGATCTCGTTGATGTCGGGCTTCTTGGACAGCACATAGATGACGGTCTTCTCCTCGTTGCTGGCCTGGGCGCGCTTCAGTGCGGCGGCCGTGTGCTTCAGATTCTGCGTCGGCGCCTTGATGAACACAATGCGATAATTCTTGCGAATGGGCGTGTTATCCAACTGAGGCACCGACTGCAGCTCCTCGGTGTCATCCGGAGCGGAGTGTATATAGATATCCTTGGTCACAATCGAGGGGCGCTGCGCATACTGCGACTGCACGAACTGCTGCTGCTGTTGCTGGATTGGGGCCTGGATCTGGGGCTGCGAATAAGTTGGAACAAACTGCTGCTGGGGCGGAGAAGGCACAAATTGTTGCTGGATTTGGGGCTGCTGGTAGACCTGCGCCTGGGGCTGTGGCAAAGGTGCCTCCACGACATTGTTGAAGCCGGGCTGCTGGGCGGGCACGTTGTATATTCCACTTGCCGACAACGGCGTCTGCGGACGCAGATTGCCAGCCTGCAGCGCGGGCTGCTGATACTTGTAGCCCTGCGGAGCTGAGGCGGCGACGAGCACCGCGCACGACAAGCACTGCAAATGCGGAGGAGATCAGCTTGAGGTGAGAGAAAAGACGAAGGAAGCGCTGCGACTTACCACTAGAATGGCGAATTGTTTCATTTTTTGTTTGCGGACGAACTTCTGCTACAACTGACCCGAGCAGATTGAACTCAACTGATGCCCCAATCGAGCGATGGCAATGTTTTTATAAGATGTCGCCGCGTTTCCCCGGCTAACAAAAGAAATTTTTGGGCGCTGTTATAAAATTATTCGAATCTATTGTCGCCCAGCTGACGACGGCCTAGCCACAAGTCTCTCTCTGTGTGTGTTGTTGGCAAATCACGGAACCATATACGGAAATATTCCGATTAGAGATGCATCTCGGATGGACAGTTATATAACCCGGGCTTAGTCGATATTCAAATTTTCGTATAATCGCATAATAATGCGAAATATTATTGGTAAATGCGACATATCGTTTGATCAAATGTTGCTGCTCCACCTCCCCCCCCACACCAAAAGAAAGTCATTTCTTATGCAGCTGGCCAAGACCCAAAAGCGTTAACTGATCGCCAAATTAGTGGCTCGTTGAGTTGTGCGGAGCATCTGCTCCAGACGAGACGACCCTCAACCGGTTGCGTCTTTCAATGTGCATAAATTAATTCAAGTCAAAGTGATATATAATCAAAATAAAAATAAAAAAAAAAAGGGCAACATATAAACAAATGTTTGTTGCCAAAGAAAGCAGTTTATGGGCTTATGTCCAAGTCTCGTCCACAATTTTAAATGCGAGCTTTACACAATTTTAAGCGTCGTTGGCTTTCGAAATACAAAAAACTGAACAGACACAGCCGCAGCCCCAGTCATTGTCTCTGCCGAGCGACATTATGCTAATTATTCTACCAGCTATTTGATAGAAGAGCCTCAAAGATATGTTAAAGCTCATGTAATAATTGTTTACAATTTGTCTATAAATATTGTGCATCGTATATCACGCATACGACAGGAAAAAAATAACAATTGAAGCACAAGATTTACAGGCAATTTCCTATAACAAGTAGGAGTCTCTAGTCGGCAGTTCCAGACTAGGGGATATCCTGTACCCTCATCCAGCTCGTTTGCCTTGGTAGTAATAGACATAAATTTAAAAAAAAATACTTCCCTCAATGAGATTCGAACCCGTAACAGATGGCGCTACTTGCCGAGGCATCTACTCGACAGTCATACCAACAATTCACTTTCGTCGAAAAAAACATATTAAAATAACGGCACATGCACACCACACAGATTACAATACAATCGCAATTGAAATGCTATTAATGGAATTCAATAATGAAGACACGTGTCATGATAATCACACGTTTTCTTTAATAACTTCTGCGTTTTTTAACCGATCTTGATGAAATTTTCAACAGTAGATCTTATTGAGCCATAGAATATTCGTATATCATCCAAAAGTCAATTGCATTAAAATTGTGGCTTTAATTGGTTGGCAGTTTCAATTGGTTTATTTGGTTGATTTATAGCTATGTTGTGTAGGCGGGGGCTGGCACTGGGAAAAAATTAAACCTATTTGATACATATATATACGACTCAAGAAGTTACGTGTCAAATTTGGCGACTCTAGCTCTTATAATATAGGAGATTTGCTCAAAAAACAGAATTTCAATATCGATTTTTATCAATTGCTTAGAAACGGGACAATTTATCGATTATCGGAAACAAACTCGCACTGTACGGACACTAGGAGGACCTACGTTAAAAATTTCAAGCTCTTTTAGGTTTTGAGATCTTTGCTCATACATGGGGACGGACGGACAGACAGATAGACGGAAATGGCTAGATTGACTCGGCTATTGATGCTGATCAAGAATATATATACTTTATGGGGTTGGAGATGCTTCCGTCTGCCTGTTACATACATTTGCACAAAAACATTATACCCTTTTTACCCATTTTTAATGGGTTCAGGGTATAAAATACATTGATTCATGATTTGTGTTAAAAATTATAATTTAAAACCTTTTTGAATTCAACACATCTCAAACTTGATTAAATTAAATATTTAATGTGGCAACACTGTCACGTCTCTGGCTGTTAACTCCTTTTGACTTCAATCAATTTTTTATGTTTTTATAGTAGAGCAACATTGTCCAGAGTTGCGCTCAAAATACTCACTTTGCAGCTCAACCTAATTTGCATAATTAAAATGTTGCCACATTTATAACAGTCGCATTAAAAATATTGGCCTTAACGTATCAGCAACTCACTTATGTCGCTTCAAACTAATTGTTACTTTTTTTATCGTAGAGCAACATTTTTGGTTTGTGTAAAAAATACCTTACTCTCTACATTAATTGTTAACTAATTTAAAGCACTTTAATTAAATAATAAAATATATAAATTTTGTCTTATGCGAGAGGCCACATTTGTTACAGTCGCGTTCAAAATTGTTGATCTGGTTGACTCATCAATTTCGCCAAAATCTTGTTTGTCTTTTGTCAACACACAGCCACATTGTTTACAGTCGCGTTCAAAATTGTTGACCTAGTACTCATAAATTGCTGCCATTCATATTTAGTCATATTGCTTACAGTCGCGTTCAAAATAGTTGGCTCAGCTTTACAGTTAGCAACTCAAGTTGTTGAATTAAATCAAATATACATTGCAATAAGATATGGCAACAGTCGCGTCAAAAATAGTCGGCCTAGCTGTCACAGTTGGCACAATTTACTCTTTCAAAATTGTTGACCTGGTACTCATCAATTTCTGCCATTCATATTTATTTCTTGTCAACACGCACATTGCTTACAGTCGCTCCCAAAATAGTTGGCTCAGCTTTACAGTTAGCAACTCAAATTGTTTAACTGAATCAAATAAATATTGCAATAAGATATGGCAACAGTCACGTCGAAAATAATCGGACTAGCTCTCAATTAACTTTCCAGCGAAAAAAACGTACTCAACTCAAATTTAGGGAAAAACTACATTATATTTTTTAACAGTATTTACTAGCTATAATGAACATTTGCTTATATTTAAAACCTACGGCTGGGTGGCAAGTACGCGCTATTTGATGGTGCCTCGCCTGTGGCTGCGCCAATAGCGCCGTTCTTTGTGGCAAAGTCCAACACTGGCGCCGAGGAGCCGGCATTGTGATTGGTCGAGCGGCCGGGCAGCGAATCGTATTGGGCCTGGATGATGCGCTGTGCATTCTCCGCATCGCTTTGCGTGCGATACTTGACGAAGTGCACCTCCGGCTTGTTGTTCGTCTGCAGCTTGACCTGGTTCAGTCGGTTGGCCAGCTCGCCGACATCGGCCTGTTTATTAAGCACATAGATGGCGGTGCGATCGTCCGAGGCGGACGAGGCCAGCTGCAGTGCCGCCTGCTCCAGGCCCGTGTTCTCCGGCCCCTTGATGAAGAGCACGCGCAGATTCTTGCGCAAACTGTTGGCGATCTGCTCGTTAACGGGTCCATTGTCGAACTCCTGCTCCGGTGCACTGTACGTGTAGAACTCCTTGTTGAACTCATTGGCAATGAGTATCGGCTCCGACAGCTGGGCGGCGCCGCCATCGGGGCTGCCGATCAGACCGCCATGCCCATCCCCGGCTTGGGACTGGGGCGTATAATCATACTGGCCCCGGGCGACGGCGAGCAGGCAAAGCATCTGCAAATAAGGCAGGGTTTAACTGAATTTCTGGCGAGGATTCGGCTCTGGCACTTACCATAAAGGCGCGCATTGTTGTGCTTGGGTTTGAGTTTTCCACACCGTAGGATTTTTCTGGGCTCTGAGTGTGCTGTGCAGCTGCTGGGCTGTGTCTGTCTCTGGCAATTGCAACTCCGCCCGATATTTATATGCGGAGATGCGGCTGCATCCCATGCAAATGCGCCGCTGCATTGGGCAACCAATATCAGCCCCCGTGTTCCAATTAAAATGCCAAACGTTTTTTAATTGGAACATATAGCTTTAAAAACGAAAAAAGAAAAAAACACAACTGGTAAGCCGGAAAATGTGTAAATGTATTCAAATTACGGCCGGGTGTCCAATTTGGCCACCAGATTTGTGGGTTTGTCCAAAACTTGGAATGTCAACTTGTGTGTCGGCAATGCATTTTTTTCGGGAATCATCTAAGACGCGTCTGTCGGCAAACTGTTTGTTATAATATTATATATACATATATAATTTACATTTTTGGAATTTTACCAAAATTGCCAAAGACCGAAAATGCACCCACAAATATTGCGCATACTTTATTTATTATTATTTATTTATTAATTTTTTTAAATGCAACATCAATATTAAAAAAAATTTTGTGGCTAGTTTGTTAAAGAATTTTAAAAAGAAGCATTTAACTTAAATTTTAATGTTTACTTTTTGTGTGCAATTTATTTTCGACAGCAGCCCGAAAATATGCAACATTTTTTTTTAAAAAAGTTTCTCAAGTCAGGAATGGGAAACAGCCTTTGATATTGTGAGGTGGGAAATTTTGACCTATGTCTATGTAGGATACTTAAGGGTAAAATTTTCACATGAATTTTGACAAAAAATAATGTTGTCGGATTTAGATGTCAAATTGATCTAGAGGTCAAAACATGACCAAAAGGCCAAACCTCGTAAAAATCTGTTGAGTTTTGACCAAGTTATGGGAGTGGGAAATTTTGACCTATGTCTATATAGGATATTTGAGATTTGAGGGTCAATTTTCACATTAATTTTGACCAATAATAATGTTGTCAGATTTAGATGTCAAATTGATCTAGAGGTCAAAACATGACCAAAAAGCCAAAAAGCGTGAAAATCTGTTGAGTTTTTACCGAGTTATGGGGGGTGGGAAATTTTGACCTATGTGGGAAAGTTCGACCTATGTCTATATAGGATATGTAAGGGTACAATATCCACTTGAATTTTGACCACTTGAAATTTGACCTATATGGGAAAGTTCGACCTATGTCTATATAGGATATTAAAGGATACAATATCCACTTGAATTTTGACCAAGAATAATGTTGCCAGATTTAGATGTCAAAGCCATTAACAAAAAGGCAAACCTTGAAAAAATCTGATAAGATTTGGTCGAGATATGGGGTAGGGAAATTTTGCCCTATGTGGGAAATTTTAACATATGTCTATATAGGATAATTTTGACCAGTAATCACGTGTCCATATTTAGATTCCAAATTGATCTAGAGGACAGAAAAGTGGGAATTCAAACTTTCAATACACTTCGTTGACAATTTCAACATAATATTGCGACTATGACATCATATTATAATCGGAGCATTAAACTCGATTTGGACTGTAACTAATTAAATTGGCAAGCAGTAAAACTAAAAATTTAGTTTCCAATGAAAATGGAGTAAAACAAGCTGAAGAAATAAAAATAATAAAAATAAAATAAAGAAATCAGCATGAAAGTGAGTTGGAGATTGATTTATTGATATATGGCTCGAATTCCAAGCTAACTAAGCTTACCAGAGATTAGTTTGCATTTTTTTTAATACCATAGCCCACATTCTATTTTAATTTACATGCTAAAAAAAACCAGTTGAATGGTTTCGCTTTCACACAAAGCAAATTCGAATTTGTTTCAACAAAAAAAAAACAAACAAAAAAAAAACACGCCAATTTGTAGTCTTATGAATAAATAAGCTCATCGTAAGAGATCTGTGCTGGCTGCTTTATAAGCAGTAAAAAATACAAGTCAGAGTGCTCGACTGGCAGATACCCTATACGCAGCACCGAGCTGAAGGGAGTTTGTATTCGGTTAATAACATATTCTTACATGCCGAAAATAGTGAACCTACGAAAATCGATAACATTGACACTTATCGATATGACAAACCGTGTGATACCCGTTACATAAATTGCCACAATAACATAACAATATATCTCTGGCAATGTTTTTTATTGGGGTGAGAATGGAGAGAGGTATTCAGATAATAGCATAAAATATGCTTGACAAACCCAGGCTGGAAATCGATATGCATAATAGTGCGATACCTGTTACATAAATTGCCAAAAAAAATAATAATAAATCATCATAACATCAAATAAATATCAGACTTTTTAATTGGGGTGAGAATGGAGGGAGGTATTCAGATAATAGCATAAAATATGTTCGAAAACCTAGGCTTAAAATCGATATTTATCGATATGAACTGTATTGTGATACCCGTTACAAAAATGATATTATCTCTGGTAATGTTTTTTATAGGGGTGGGAATGGAGGAAGTATTCAGACAATAATATAAAATATGCTCGACAAGCCCAGGCTGGAAATCGATATTTATCGATATGCATAATAGTGCGATACCTGTTATGTAAATTGCCAAAAAAAATAATAATATATATCTGACTTTTTAATTGGGGTGGGAATGGAGAGCGATATTTAGATAATAGCATAAAAAATGCTCGACAAACCTAGGCCGAAAATCGATATTTATCGGTATGAGCTATATTGTGATGTTTGTTACAAATATTACATAATAATATATATCTGGAAATGTTTTTTATTGGGGTGAGAATGGATGGAGGTATTCAGATAATAGCATAAAATATGCTCGAAAAACATAGGTCGTAAATCGATATTTATCGATATAAACAACTTTGTGACACCTGTTACATACATTGCGACAAAAATATAATACCCTTTTCGTAACGATTTTCAATAAGTACAGGGTATATTGGGAGCCCGCTCTGCGATTACTGGAAAATCAGGGCTCAATACTGTCTGATCGTTTGTCTGACAATCGAGTTGTGGATATTATGTTAAACAAATGAGTTTTCAAAACTCGTTTCGTTATTGTTTCAAGTTGTTCAAGTTCGTATAGTTGCAAATTATAATTTGATTATGAACACAACGATAAGTTTTGAGCCCCAAAAAATTATATTATTTATAAAGTTTTATTAAAGTTTTTCGGACTATAAAAGCGCCTGCGGCTGCGAGCGCGAGTTTTAGTTTTGCCTCAAGAATTGCACGAAAATGAAGACTATTTGCGTAAGTTCCAGATCTAGTAAAAGATATATATTGAGATTAATAGAGAGAGTTTTGTCATGTCAGCTACTTTTGCTGTTCGCCCTGCTGGCGGCCCTCGTCTATGCTGCACCCGCGCCCGGCCCCGCGCCTGCCAATGATCCCACCGTCAACGTGCTGAGATACCGTAATGACCAGGAACTGGAGCAAATCCAACGTTCGATAATTGCGCAATACGAGGCACAATTGGGGGGCACCACACAGGTTCATGCACCACGCACCGCCACGCTTGTCAATCCCCAGACACTGGGCATCAACATTTAAATGACCGAAATCAAAAAAAAACGTTAAATAAATTACAAATTGTTGTGACAAAATTTCTTCGACCATTTCTATATGCTGATAAGGCTGATAAGCCGCCCGGCTCGGCTCGTCTGAGCTGAGCTCGTCGCCGCTTTAGTCTCGCTTCTCTGCTCCGACTGTACGCATTTCAGTCCAAAAAAACGAAATATTTAAGAAATCCGAATTTATAGCTAAAAAAAAAAAATGCGCTGCTTTTTGGCTCTGCTCTCGGCTGCGCTGAGCTGCTTGGCTTTTGGCCAGCGTTTGCCCAAAAGTCAGCCGATGTTCTTTCCCCAGGAGCAGGACATTGTTTTTCCGGGCACCAAACAATTTGATACACTGTACAAAATAAGTGACTTTCATTTGGTGGGCAGACCCGATAACAGCCTGGAGCTGCCGGAGCCACCAGCCCGCCAGCTAGATCCGCATGCCCACAGGCCCGGGCAACCCTTTCCCCCGCCGCCAAATGGTCATCGGCACAAGAAGCGCAAAGGCAGGCAGCGGCGCCTCTGCGAGCGCAGTGAGTTCTTGCTCCTCTTTTTGTTCAGTGTATTTATCATTCATTACCCTATTTACGCCCAAAGAGTACTCCGAGTATGTGGAGCGCATATTTCCCAACGATACGGCCGTAACGGAAGACGCCAACGATGAAGATTTCGATGGGCGCGTACTCGCCCGACCTGGTGAATACCCTCATATGGTAAAAGCTGCTCAGCTGATAACACAACATTTTGGTGAATACACTCAGAGAAAAATGTGAAGCATTTTGTGCTCAAATCAAGTGCAAATTTTATTGAAAATTTCTAAAGCTGAGAAATTTTTATTTTAGACCCTTTTCTGTTTAATCTAAGATTCCCAAATGCGGTGCTTGAATCTAGGAAATGTTGTACAGTAATGAAGGAAGAAATTTTGTACTTAAATCAAGCACAAACTTTATCAAAATTCAGTCAAGAGTGATATTTCTTGAACTGAAATAAGCCTCCTATCCAACGATTTTGTTGAAGCCCTAAATTCTTTCAAATGCGTTCCTTGAACCTAGGAAATTTTGTGTTTGAGTCAAGAAAACAAGAACTTTTTACTTAAAACAAGCACAAGCTTTATCAAAATGCAGTCAAGAGTGATATTTTTTGAACTGAAAGAAACTTCCTAACCAAAGATTTCTTGAAGCCCAAAATTCTTCAATATTTGACTTAAGTTGAGAGCACAATTTAAGAAATGTTATACATTTACGCTTATTTCAAGCATACAAGAACTTAAAAAACTTATTTTAAGCTTAATCCAAGCTTTATTTATTAAATTTATTTATTAAAATTAGTTCTTAACTTAAGAAAACCAGAAAAATTTCAACACAAACCTGAATTCTAAAATTTTGAAATGCTAATTTTGTCAGCCCCATTTTTCTCTGAGTGTAGCTCTTACAATAACGAACAATAACAAGAACCCGGTCAATTAAATTTCATAGGCGGCGCTCGGCTTTGCGACGAACTCCGAAAAAATCGACTACAAATGCGGCGGCAGTTTGATAAGTGAGAACTTTGTATTGACTGTGGCCCATTGCACCGAGGTGGAGGGGTGAGTTGGGAACGAGCGTCGGGTCGATTGTTCTCTCTGATTGCCTGTGGCCCATTTAACATTTTGTAGCGCCGCGCCGAAATGGGTGCGAATCGGCGGACTGAATCTGTTGATCGATGAGGCGCGGGTTAAGCCGCAGAACTTTGGAATCGAAAGCATATCCAAGCATCCCGATTACAGAGTCGATTCCTACTATAACGATATTGCACTCTTAAAACTGGAGAGAGATGTGATGTGAGTATAAACTAATGAAGATGTAGAAATAGAAGTATGAGTAGAAGTAGAAGTAGAAGTAGAAGTAGAAGTAGAAGTAGAAGTAGAAGTAGAAGTAGAAGTAGAAGTAGAAGTAGAAGTAGAAGTAGAAGTAGAAGTAGAAGTAGAAGTAGAAGTAGAAGTAGGAGTAGGAGTAGGAGTAGGAGTAGGAGTAGGAGTAGGAGTAGGAGTAGGAGTAGGAGTAGGAGTAGGAGTAGGAGTAGGAGTAGAAGTAGAAGTAGAAGTAGAAGTAGAAGTAGAAGTAGAAGTAGAAGTAGAAGTAGAAGTAGAAGTAGAAGTAGAAGTAGGAGTAGGAGTAGGAGTAGGAGTAGGAGTAGGAGTAGGAGTAGGAGTAGGAGTAGGAGTAGGAGTAGGAGTAGGAGTAGGAGTAGAAGTAGAAGTAGAAGTAGAAGTAGAAGTAGAAGTAGAAGTAGAAGTAGAAGTAGAAGTAGAAGTAGAAGTAGAAGTAGAAGTAGAAGTAGAAGTAGAAGTAGAAGTAGAAGTAGAAGTAGAAGTAGAAGTAGAAGTAGTAACAAATCTAGTCAGAGTAGACCTTTTCTAGCAATAGACATATATAGTATATATATATAAGTTTTTTATTATTTTAAAATTATATTTGATGTTGTAAGAAATATGAAGAAATATTCATGAACAGCCTCTCCTTTCAGCCTAACCGAGTACGTTCGCCCCATACGTTTGTGGGTCCGCGGGGAGATACCGACATCGATTGCTTTCGCCATGGGCTATGGCTCAACAAGCTTTGGCAAGGGCATGACATATCGCTTGACCCATCTGAATGCGACCATTGTGCCCAACGAGGAGTGCAACAAGGATCTGCCCGTGTTCGCGGAGACTCCCAATGGCATAATAGATAGTCAAATATGCGCTCAGGACTTCGTTCAAAATCGGGACACCTGTCAAGGCGATTCGGGCGGTCCGCTGCAGCTGAATTTGCCGGGTCGCAGACATCGCCACATCCATTATCATCTTATTGGCATCACCTCATTCGGCGTGTTCTGCCGCAGCAGCTATCCCAGTGTCTACACACGTGTATTTACGTACCTGGACTGGATCGAAGATGTCACGTGGGGTGTTCCAGAAAACTGAATCTAATTTAAGACAATGTCGCACAGACTGCAGCTGACGATTTCTAAATTATTTAATAATTCAAAAATAAAAATAAATTTAAAACAAAAATAGATCATTCCCTCGATTCATCGATTCACATAGTTAAGAGGCTTTTAATTTTGGGAAGGTGTGTTCCACGAAATGAAATCTCTTTTAGATAGTTTTATCTAAAACAATTTAAATTTGAACATTTTAATAATTACAAATACTTGTAAATGTGTGAGTAAAAACATTTCCATTTAATACCAAAAAAATTACATTACGTTACATTTTATTACTTTCGTGTTTATGTATCTGGATTTCATCGAAGAAGTCACGTGGGGTGTTCCAGAAAACTGAATCTAATTTGAGACAATGTGCTGTTGATTTCTAAATTATTTAAGAATACAAAAATAAAAAGTAAATCGAAACCAAAAATAGATCATTCCCTCGGTTCATCGATTCACAAAGTTAAGAGGCTTTTAAGTTTGGGAATAGGTTTTTCCAGGGAATGGAATCTCTTTTAAATAGATTTATATAAAACCATTTAAAATTGTAAAATACTTTATGTCAGTAAAAAACATGTTCACTAATACAAAAAAATTACATTACATTACATTTTTTTTCTTTTGAATTTTTTAAGGCAAGTACGAAGAAACAGTTTTTCCAGAGGATGAAATCTCTTAAAAATAGTTTTATCTAAAACCATTTAAGATTTTAACATATAAAAAATTACAAATACTTTTAGTGAGTAAAAACATTTCTATTTAATACAAAGAAATGACATAACATTAAAGTATTTTTTCTTTCGTATTTTTTGAAGGCAGAAACGAACATAAATTTTTGTCAATTTTGCTGACATAGTTTTTCCAGAGAATGAAATCTCTTAAAAATAGTTTTATCTAAAACCATTTAAAATTTGAACACTTAAAAGATTACAAATACGTTTTGTGAGTAAAAAACATTTCCATTTAATACAAAAAAATGACATTACATTAAAGTTTTTTTTTTCTTTCGTGTTTTTTTTAAGGCAAAAACGAACATAAATTTTTGGTCAATTTTGCTGAGTATTCTAGCTGAGAGTCGCACATCAGACCTCATTGTTGGCATCCATAATCTGGCGTTTGATGTCCTCATAGGAGGGCAGGGTCTGCGATTAAAAGAGAAGATCAATAAAGTGTTCAGGAAATGGAGGAGATTGTTGAATGAGATGCGAGCTGGTGGACTTGTGGGCGCCGAGATACTCACTCACCGATCAAGTCGAGTGTTTGGGATCAGGCATGAGTGTGAGCGTGAGCGAGAACAAGATTAAGCAAAGCAGGCGATTGTTATGTATTTAATGTGGCATGCGGCGATGGAGTTTGGCCAGCGATCTACTCACCTGCCAGTAGCTGTCCTCCCAGGCGGGGAACATGCGCTTGAAGGCGCCCGGCTCCTGGCCCTGGGTGACGCGCACAATGCTCACGGTGTCCATGGTGCGGGCGGTCGGCTCCGAGCCAATGTAGCGCTACAGATCCAGAGGAGGAGGAGTTAGTTATTGGAGAGTTTCAGTCGGGCATTGATTTACCTGTGCCATGTCCAAGATCTTGCCGTTCTCCTCGGCTGTGGCGCCGGAGCCAACCCACAGGTAGATCTCATCGCCGGCATCGAGCAGCATGACATCGTCCGTATCGAGATCCTCCTGCTGGAAATCGGCCACCTCCTCGACCTTGGCGCGACCGGTGCGTGTGAGGCGGCAGTGGAAGAGACGCGGCTCCAGCAGCGGCGCCGTATGATCCTCCAGATTGCGATCGTACTGACCCTCGCCGTTCAGCTCCTCCCAGAACTCATCCGGTTCGGCGCCCTCCTCGACCAGCTCCAGCTCCGCATCCTTCCAGTAGTGGGCGAAGCGTGCCGTGGCCGCCTCCTTTTCAAAGCTGGAGGCGCCCAGGCCATGCCAGACGTAGACCTTGTGCGTCTTGGTGGAGGCCAGCGCGAAGGCATCGCTGGAGGCCAGCGATGAGCTATCGGCGGGCACCTCGCTGGCATGGACGTCGCTCTCGACGGTGCCG